GGCATGTTCTTGAAGTTTTGTTATGTGTATACACATTTATAATTGTTATAAATTTCATTTTTATCATTATGAAATGTTCTTTATCTTTGGTAATACTCTTTGTCTCGAAGTCTCTTTTACCTTTTGTGTCAATCTCTGCCTTTTAACTGGAGTGTATATAGACCATTAACATTTACTGAATTATGGAAATGACTCAATTTAAGTTACTGTTTTATTCATTTTCTATTAATCATCTCTTTTGTTTTCTTTTTCTTCCCCTTTTCTACAATTTTTTGATTATTTGAATGTTTTTTAGTATTCCATTTTAATTTACCTATTGGCTCAATGCTTATATCTCTTTGTATTACTTTTTTTACTGGTTGCTCTAGGTATTACGTGTGCCTCTATCTAATCATTCACAGTCTGCTTAGAGTTATGTTAGTGCCATCTCACATAAAATTTAGAAACCTTGCAATCATATAAGCCTTTTACTTCCCACTTCTATCTTTCTGCAGTAGTTGTCAAATATATTTACATACATTGAAAATTCCAGCAGATAATATTATAACTTATACTTCAAATCAGTCATATATATTTTAATGAACTTAAGAGGATGGGCAAGGGGGGTTGTCACTTTATGAGGGGTGAAAGGGATAACTAGTGCATTGTTTTGTACACCTGAAACTAATAATAATAAAAAATAAAATAAAATAAAAGAACTTAAGAGGAAAAAAAGTAGACTTCTGTAGTTACTCAACTACTTATTCTTTTTATTGCTCCTTCTTCATTTCTGAAGATCTAAGATTCCTTAACATTTCCTTTCAGCCTTAAAAAAAATATTCTGAATATTTCTTTTAGAATAGATCTGCTGATAAATTCTATTCTATTAGTTTTTCTTCATCTGAAAAAGTCTTTATTTTGCCTTTATCCCTGAAGGGTATATTGGTTGATAGGTCTTTCAGTACTTTAAAGATATTATTTCAATGAGTTCTTGTTTTTATGATTTATAAGAAATGTGTAGTTACTGTGTTGGTTTTTTCTAGATGTTTTCAATATTTTTTTCTTTATCTTTGGCTTTTAGGAGTTTGGTTATGATGTTTCTAGGCATTATATTCTTTGAGTTTATCCTGTTTGGGATTTGTTGAGTTTCTAAAATTTACTAAATTTATGTCTTTAAGCAAATTTTTGCAGTTTTTGTCCATTGTTTCTTCAAATAA